CTTTCATCCTTACAAAACAAACAATGCAACTTAAGTTAAACATCATATTTATTGCAATAAATCAGTTAGTTATTTCTGCATTCAAAATGTATAACAGCAAGATGCTCCCACCTCTCATTGTGACACAAAGAACTGCAGAATCTGCACAATTAAAAAAATTACAATCACCAAAATTAAATAATACCAAACAATACATGTTATCAATTCAAATGTAGTTTTCTATTAAAGTAGTACATATTAAAATATCTGCTATTAAAGATTTCTCCATAATACAGTTTTTATGATATACGACTGGGCTTTATTTTATAGATTATACTTTGGGTGGGGCTGTAGAGGACTCTTTTTCACTGTCAACTCGAGCATCAGATATCACATCTGGCACATGCAGAATCATCCCATCCAGATCCTTCCTCAAACACACCTGGCAACCCAGACGAGATCTAAATGATGTACATGCAAAATAGAAATGTGAAGATTTTCCATGAATATTCAAATCCAGCCAAATCATGAATTGTCAAAACAGAAAATTTAAAAAGACGTGCACTTTTTAATGCACAAACACCTTTTAAAATGAAGTCTGTAATTTCTATGTCAAGTGTTGAAACCAAAGGAAAGTTAAATTTTCAAACAAAGATAACTGCACCCAACTCTCTCTATAGGTTGAGCCCATGTTACCATGTGCTGGTCAGGATGCCCATATGAACAGAGTAATGATAGTGAGCTACAGTGTTTATATTTACAGGGGAATCAACCTATGAATGGCTTACTAACTGTTGTCTCAGCATAATTTACATTTAATCATTTTGCAGACACTTTTATCCAAAGCGACTTACAATTGGGCAATACATAAAGCGATTCTTCTTAAAGAGGCAAACAGACACAGGAAGTGCTTGTAATAGCAAGTTTTAGGCATTGTTCAAATAAGCTAGAAAGGGATATAAAATATAGAATAGGAAAATGTATTTCAACATCAAAAAAGATACTTCATCTTTAAACTGAAGTCTGTACAAAAATATCAAAAGCTACTGCATGGCTTCTGAAGACAATTATAAAATGATCTATTGTTGTGTGATTTGGTTCACTCACGTGTCTGTAAGCCCATAAGCCAAGTCCAGCATGTCCATTTCCTCATCAGAAATACGTCCAAGCTTCTTATAAACGGCCTCCTCGAAAATAAGGTGGCACGTAGAGCAGGCCAAAGTTCCCTCACATGCACCTAGTTCAACAACACAAAAGACACACAAAAATATTAGCCTGCAAGCTACTAAGACTCACATTCCACTTACATTGACATGACAAGTATTAAAATATTTCTCTAGCTGTTCACCTCGTTTTACCTTTGGATTACATACACAAAGCCCTGTAAAGCTTTGGCCTGTTCACAATGACCAAATCATTTTTGCCTTTCTATGTCAATCACATATGTTTTTCCTTTGCTATATTTTTGAGGCAACCTGCAGTCCTCATAGACAGAACACTATATGCACTGTAAAAAATGTGTTTCATGTGGATTTATTAAAACCCAAAATATTATTTAATGTAAACTAAATCAACCCGACTACATTAGGTGACACAGGAAGAAACTGCACGTTTTTACTATTTATTGTGTGTGAATGAGTTTGTCTGTATTGTCTGTACAAATAAAACTTACATTTTTACACCATGTACAATATTTGTAAATAACTTACCAATATCTAGAATATCTAGATCATTGTTAACAACAATATCGAGTAGTGATTCTCCTGTTAAAGCTTTCACCGAAATCCTTTTTCCATCTCGATTCAGAAAGTGAACTGTCACCTTCTCCTCAGCCCTGCACAGAGACATTTTTTAAGACTTGGGAATAACCCGT